GTTATGCTTCCAAGCTAACAACTTAAAGGTTACTGGGTACTCTAATACAGATTTTGCAAAAAACCCAGATGATAAAAAATCAACCTCATGAATTGTATTTCTCTTTGGTGGTGGATGTGTTTTCTGGTCTAGTAAGAAACAAAGTTGTGTTGCTCAGTATACTATGGAAGTCAAGTATATTGCTTGTAGCATTGCTACAACTTATGGCGTCTGGATTAAACTCTTCATAAGTGATTTGAAGTTGGATATAGTCGACGGACCTGGTAAATTTTTTTGTGATAATCAGGCTGTTATTTCATCAATTAGAAATAAAGCTTATAGTTTCAAGGGTAAGCACATTGAAATTGATTATCATTATATTAATGATATTATTGAAAAGAATGAAATAATTGTAAGTTATTTGCCATCTTCAGATATGATTGCTGACCCTTTAACAAAAGAATTGAATGCAGAAATATTATCAAAGCATGTAGTTTTGATGGGACTTAAAAATATTTAAGTCAGGAACTCCCAAATGGGATATTTTTTGATGTCTTGGTCATGAAAGGAAAAACCGCATTAGCGTGAAAAATCATGACATAACTTTGGATATTTTTTGTTATGAGATGTATAACCGCACTTACGTGAAAGCCTCATGACAAAAATATGTACATAAATATTAAATTCATTAAGTGGTAAAGACTTTATGATATTTCAATATGTCTGGCCCTCATGGCCAAGTGGGAGATGTTGGTACGTGTGTGTGGCCATTGGGCCTTTAAACGTGTAATATTTCTCTCTTATAATTTAATGTTTATCACTAAAAAAGGGAGGCTTCTTAGAAAGAGAAAGTGTCGTTATTTAAAGGCTAGAAAGCAACCACCCACTTCCCAAGATTACAGGGCCAATTTTTCTCAAAGATTTTAGGACGAAGCCGAACGTTGGAGAACGACCTCCTCCATCCCTCTTTAAGAAGGGTTTCATGGCCATGGAGAGGTACACAGAAATATACAGAGTTCTCACAGTTCTGGTAAAAGCCTGATCTTTGCGATTGATAGTCTAATGACACTGCCCTTAATCCTAGAAGTGGGTCCATCTCTTCTCTCAAGTTTTTTCAACACTACTAGGCTGGTTTTGTGATATCTCCTCTCGCATTACCCAACTATGCCTTTCAAATAATCGAATACAAGGTCAGTTTCCAAAAATCTGCAGACTTCTGTAGATCTGAGTTCAAACCTCTTTAAAGGCCCCATACCTATGCTAGTTCCAAAGGTACAAACTTTAGACCTCTCGAACAACCAGTTTTCTAGTATTCCTGCAAACCGACTTTACTGGCCGCTCTTGAAGCACTTACTATGATAGAGTTGGCAAATAACTGGTTATCAGAACTCCTTGAGGCCTTGAAAAACTGGTTTTCATTGATAACTCTTGATCTTAGTTATAATGAATTAGCAGGAAACATTCCATCATGGATTGGAGAAAGCCTATCACGTCTCAAATATGTTAACCTAAGAACAAACAAATTTATTGGGAGATTGCCCCAAGCACTGACACAATTGAGTTTTTTTCAAGTTTTGGATCTCAGTGGAAATAGGTTATCAGGGCCCATACCTAAGAGTTTTGGAATTTTCACAGCCATGAGGATTGCTATTGAAGTCAATGGTTCTATGATCTATTACGAAATGTCAAGGACAAAAATGGTACGTATGGATGTGAAAGCAAAAGAGCAAATACTTTGATATAGCATGACCCTATCCTTGGTAAAAAGCATAGACCTTTCAAGTAACCATTTAAAGGGAGAAATTCCTGAAGAATTGACATGCTTGTTGGGAATGGTCTTCTTGAATTTGTCGAGAAACCATTTAAGTGGAGTCAATCCAGAGAGGATCGCGAAGTTGGAACGATTGCAGTCGCTAGATCTTTTAAACAATCAACTGTCCGGGATCATTCCTCCACTCATTTCATCCATGATTTCTTTAAGTGTTCTAAACTTATCCAACAACAATTTGTTTGGACAAATCCCCATAGGAAACCAAATGAAAACATTTAACACATCCATATACTCCGAGAACCCATACTTATCTCTACCTCCCCCCATCCAAGGCTCCAAGGGCAAACCTGAACCTCCTCCCTCTATTGATCGTATTGAAAGGAGCAGGAAAATATTTGAATTCTCATGGCTTGATATGAGCAATCGATTGGGATTCGGAGTAGGATTTCGAGGCACCACCCTTCTGTTGTTCATTAGGAAGTCTTGGACTGATGCATGTTTCCGTTGCATGGATAAAATCGTAGTTATGTTGCTACGGTTTTGCAAGTGAAAATGGAAAGGGTGAGCGATCAAACCTACAAATGTATTAGAGCAGTTGAGTGCAAGTGATGTTACTATGATTTCCTCAGTTGAAAGCGTGATGTATGCCTAGTGCTCATGGCCCGTGTTTTTTTTGCTTGTCTTGTAGTAAATGTAAGTCTGGTTTGTTGACAGCTTCTTATGCAATGCTTGTGTGTAATGCTTATTTTACATTAGCCTTTTATACTCTACTAAAATTGAAATATTACTGAAGCCTTCTTAAATAAAAAACTAATCCAAAAATTTTAGACAAAAAAACTGTCTCAAAATTTCACGTTTATTGTATTCTCTCTCTCTCTACATGTTTCTAACTGTGTTTACCAAACATGGAAAAAAGTATGTTTGAGTAATTTTTTTTCCAGTAGATTGTTTGCCTATGTAAATATTTCGCTAATAAATATTTCCTCCAAGCGTAAGCAAAAATCCCCAATACTCACTTTTCTATTTTTCAATTTTCCTTTCAGGGTTTTTATAGGTTTTTATAACACTGGTTTAAGGGCAACCACAAAGCATTGAACCTCATCCTATGAAGGCGGTAGAATCAGAAATGAAATTCACTAAATGCCTTAGTCCTGTGTTATCATCTAGCTGAACAGTAAATAGAAAAGAATTTGTAAATGATAAATGGGATTGTTTACAAAGATATCATTTATCTTTTGCACATGAAGGTCACAATCATTCTTGCCCCTTAAATTTCAAATCGGGTGATTGTAAGATTATCATTGAATGGACACAATGTTCCAAAAAGAAAATTATAGGACTTCGTGACTCACCCAAAGCCATCAAATTTGACATCTAATGAATGGGAATGATTGTGACTTCCATATACAAAAGATAAATGATCACTTTGTAGACAATCCCAAGATAAATATAGCTCCAAATAGCAGAGTTTAATAGAGAAAAAAAAACCGGATCTTAACCTCAACCCAAAAGAGTCGTTGCCACACAATATTCACACGTGGATTTCCTCAATTGAAAGCTTGTTGTGTGCCTAGTGCTCATGGCCCGTGTTTTTTTACTCGTCTTCTATTAAATGTTACTCTGGTTTGTTGAAAGCGTCTTATGCAATGCATGTGTAATGCTTATTTCACACAAATTTAATGTATTATTGTAGCCTTTTATACTCTTTTAAAATTCAAACATTACTTAAGCCTTCTGAAATAAAAACTATTCCAAAAATTTTAGGAAAAAAAACATTCCCCAAATTCCACCAAATTCCAAGTTTGTTGCATTCTCTCTCTACATGTTTCTAACTGTGTTTATCAAACATTGGAAAAAGTATGTTTTGAGTAATTTTTTTTTCCTGTAGATTGTTTGCCCATGTAAATCTTTCACCAATAAATAATTTCCTCCAAGTGTAAGCAAGAACCCCCAATGCTCTCTTTTCTATTTTTCAATTTTCCTTTCAAGGTTTTTATAGGTTTTTATAACACTGATTTAAGGGCAACCACAAAGCATTGAAGGTCGTCCTATGAAGACGGTGGAATTTACATCAGAAATGAAATTCACTAAATGCCTTAGTCGGCTGATTAGTAAACATAAAAGAATTAACAAATGATAAATGAGATTGTTTACAAAAAAACCATTTATCTGTTGTACGTGGAAGTCACGATCATTTTTATCCCTTAAATTTCAAATTGAGTGGTTATAAGAGTGTCATTGAATAGACACAATTTCTAAAAAGGAAATTATAAAACTGCGTGACTCATTCCAAACCATCCAATTTGATATCTAATGAATAAAAATATGACTGTAACTTCCATGTACAAAAGATAAATGATCTCTTTGTAAACAATCCCATAATAAATATAGTTCCAAATAGCAAAGTTTAAGAGAGAAAAACAGATCTCGACCTCAACCGAAAAGAGTGGCTGCCACACAACATTCACACGTGGTTTTGAATTAAAAGGCTTGACCGCTAAAGCTTAATATAAACACGGTAAAGTAAACAGTTTGAAATTAAGTGGTTGCATTTACTCCACAGGGTGAACATATATGACATGAGGATGGTGAAATAAATAAGTCGTAAGACAAGAATTGATAGAATTCAAAATAAACATATAGGACGGAACTTAAAGGTGGCACCATTAGACAATAAATTAAGAGAAAATAACTTAAATGGACTGGCCATGTACAATATAAATCCAATATAAAACCAATTAAGAGAGGCAATTTGGTTCTAATAGAAGACACTACAAAGGCAAGGGACAAACTTAAAAGGACATAGATAAAAATAATGAAAAAATATATAGTGACGTATTCTCTGACAAAGAATATGGTCCTTGATATAGCAAAATGACAAAACATGTTTCACGTAACCGACCCCAAAACATTTGAATAAAACTCCGATAATGATGATGACGATATGAGGTAGTTAAATTAAATAAACTTCATAAAGTTCAAGTCGCAATAATCTACACCATCTATTTTATTTGGATGGTTTAGATTTGACATTACTTTGATATTACCTTAAAAGGCGTACTACTTTTTGACCTACCTTAAAAAATGTATTAAATCTACGCATCCAATTAATATATATAGATGATGTAGAACATCAAAACCTTATTTCTAAAAGTAAAGGTCAGGCTGTTACCTTATATAAAACCGTACCATACATTGAGTTGATCAACCAGATTTCAAAGCATGCAAAAAATCCCGAGAATATGGGCCATAGAAACAAGACGAAAACATCAATTAATTCTATTAATGACAACTATGCCAACGTACAAAAAATTACAAAAACCAAGGATATGTATCTCAAACTACTCCCAATCAACTGAATTCAAATATTTCCTGAAATCCAAAACCTGTGACTATTCTCATGACCACAAAACAGATGCATAATCCACAAGGTCACCCCAATATGGGGATTTAGATTAAGCTGCATTCCCAATGTCAAGAAGAAATAGGACTGCAGCACAACAGCCTATAAGCACTTCCAAACTTGCCTGACACTCTGTACGGATGGCTTAGGCGGTTTTACTTCTTGATATTTAGTGATGCCTTGTACATTCTGCTAGAATTTGCCAATAATGGATGAATGCTTCTTCGTAATTGCCTCCAGAAGTCTGTACATCCAGCGGTCAAGCATCCCTGGCAAGCAATAAGATCAACATTTTTAGCTCGTAACCACATTTATTAATATTTGAATTCAATGTTGTTTGCAAGCAAGGCACAAATGATTAATTAAAAAAATCAGGTAAGAGAAACATGCATAAAGGTTCCTGATGAACAATAATTGAACATAACAATTAAACCCAGTTTGAAGTGCTTAAAATCAGACAATGAAGATCTGTAAATTAGAAATCTTAGATGCTTTCAGTTGAAGAATAGGAGATTTTTGTTGAAGATTGCAGATAATTAGTGATAATTGTTAACGGCAAAAAAGTCTCAGCCATCTCCTTGAGCACAGTCATGTGCACACTGGGCATGCTCCTGTAAGTAAATACGAGTACATCAAGTGCGTGTGCACAAGAGACAGAGAGAGAGAGAGAGAGAGATTCTGAAGTCGTCAAAATACTGGGGTCTTCTATTGCACAGAAAGAAGCAACATTAATTGAAACAAATCAACATGGGTACTGACAGTACAATCAAAGCCGGTAGATAGAACTACTCCAAAAACAAAAAAAAATACAGTAGATGACGGTTTTTGGAATGATCATGCTAGACAAGGACATTTGATAATTATGCAAGGAAACTAGCCCATGATTTGTAACTATCAAATGCAAATCAGAGAAATAGTAAACATAGAAATGACCAGTGAAAAAACCCACAATTAAGGTTCCAGCAAATTATAACAAACCGCATGGCAGCAATCAATGACATAAAGAGCATGTAGTTAACTGATTACACAATGTGGGGAGATCATACAGACCTGTTAGAGCAAATGTGCCACCAAGAACTGCACAAAGACGAGTTAGGAAGTGGAGAAAACTGCGACGTTCCTCCTTGATAGTTACAGTGATAGGCGAGAGATCGTACAAAAAGTAAACAGCTGCAAATTTTTTATGTCCTTAGTGGAGAAGAAATGAACTTGAAACAAAATCACTCAAAGAACTAACAACTGAAACTAACCTGGCCATGTGCGGTCAAACTCATGCATTGGAACAAAATACTCTGTCACAGAAAATTGATTTGTTGGAAGAACTTCCTTCCATATGTATCTGTACTCAGTTGGTACAATCTATGGGAAAAGAAACTCCACAAATTACTCATAGCAAAAAAGACTCACTTGTTTGTTTATCACAACAGAGTAAAAACAATATCACACAAGGAGAAATAAGTGCTCATGTTAACCTTGATGTAATATTTGAAGGTACCACTCGCATCTCTTAGAATTCTTTTAGTACCATCAAGTGGATTCTGAATTCCTGGGTACTTGGGGCCAAATGACAGATCATGAATTTCATGGCTCACATTTACATGCATTGCTCCCTCAAATATCTGAAAAGATAAAAGTTGCCCAAAAGTTAAAGCGCAACACAAAAAGGGGGGATGATGTCTAAAGCGCAGGCATACTTGATTAAGGACCCGTTTGCATCAGATGTAAATCGCTAAAAGGGTGGGCATCATATGCACGATGCCGGTGTTTGGAGCTGATCCAGTGGCTACAGAAAATAGCCCCACTTGTAGCCAAAACGCCACTTTTCAGGGATGGGGGCAAACGTATAAAAGCTGTTTTGCCCCCATTCCCAATAGGACGATTTGGTTTGGCAATTAAGACTGCATCCAAACTGGCCCTTACAGCATGCGATGTCACAATCTTTGAAGCAACTTTCAAGCTGCAAAAATAATTAGACAGCAAAGGAACACGATTGCCTAACCTGGACAACATAGTTTAGGTAAAAAAATATACATCTTGCATGTCACTTGAATTCTAATTAAATGGAATTTCGAATTCTAGAACACCTTCATATTAAAAGAATGGTACTCAGTGAAGAGCTCGCACCATCCAAAAAGTGAACCGCGACCATAGCTCCAGGGAACACAATATGTAAAAGCATCATTTGGGTTTGATAAGTCATAAAAATGTTAATTTCTTCTTAAAGATATACAGAGTCTTAAGTTTTATCTAGTTACAAAATTGTACCAAGTCTTAGGAACCCAGAATCACAACAAAACCCTTGCCTAGTGGGGGGCTTTTTTCTTATAAAGACTGAACGTGAATGGAGCATGGATAAAATGCACCCAGAATGTTAGGCCAAATCGACAAGGCCATTTCTTATTCAGAATCTCCATCAAAGGGGATCAGTTTATGGCTTGGCCACATACACCTTGAAGATGGACAACATTATACTTACGATTAGGGTATTTTAACCCCAAAGTTTGCCTTGTCAAAGAAGAACCAACAATTTTTCCATTCTGAGTGAGGTTTCCAAATGATCCATAATTTTAGTGGAATCATATTTGTTGCAAACCAATGGCGGTGGTGGCAAGAAATCCATTACTGATGGATGAGTAAACAACTGCCACAACAAAAACTATAATTCACTACAGAGTTTTGAGCTCGTGCTTTGGAACCAAACTACATCAGCAGCGGATTTTAAGAGCAGATTGACTACCAAAACCTCTACATGTTCATTACTGTCATATAGCAACTCTCTCTCCCCAGTCCACCCAGACGCACACCGATCAAAAGACGAGACCACTCTAGGCCTTCATGTCCCTTTCCTCCTCCTGAGACCAACCAACTTGCATCAAGTCTCCAAACACAAACACAATATGAACAACACATCCCCCAACCAGCAGCCAATTCCCTCTCATACAAGAAGACCTGGAAGACCATCAGGTACCATGTTTCCAGTTGTTCAACCCTTTCCAACCACTGGAGTCCTCTCTGCAACTTTCAATTATATCATTCTACAACCCCCTACGACTTGCTCGTGCCCTTCAAGATACCAAATATCAGCCCCTACAATTGCACATGTGCCCTATTCTCAAGTGTGTTAATACAAAAAGAAAGCACTTGACCTACAAGAGGACACCTCAGTCAACTTTTAGATCCCATAAACACCTAAAGACTCCACTCTGAATTGTCTCTTGATCCAATGAAAAAAATTTTAAGATCCGCAATGAGACATTCAAAACGATTTAGATGGGAATACTGAGTTTTCTTTCCTGGGCAGGCATTGCCTTTGAAGAGGAAGACAAGAATGAATACATATAAAGGGCAACAAAGAATCCACTATGGAGACCAATTAAAGACAAAAGTCGGTAATTAAAAATCAGTTCAAGAGCTGAATGGCCTTAAGGAGAGAACCACCAGCTCCAACCACCAAATCAATCCATAGCTTTCCTCCTGGTTCAAACTGTGAACTCCATCCATTTTCAAAACCCAGCTGATTTTTTATTCTCGAACAGAGCTAGATCCATTGTGTAACTTCTACCAAATGATGATGGGCCTCGCCCAAAATGAGGTCTATGGCTACTTCTATCCCAAATATTTCATTTTAAACAAAATAAAAATTTATTGCTCATCGTGATACACATACAAATAACCCTCCATTCAGTGTAAAGGACACGATCTTGCAGACAAGACTTCATGCCTACAATGTGAATTAATGCAGAAAAGATGTATAAAGTCTGGAAATTGTGATAAATAGCTAAACAACTCCTTACAAACTTTAAATAGAAATAGAGCAGCGAACTGGCAAGCTAGACCTGTTGAGCGACAAATATATTTAAACCATGAACTGAGATATGGAAGTTCCCAGCAACTCTTTGAACATCCAGAACACCATAAACCTGCACATTGCATAATAAAGGTGGACATAAAATATATCCAATGGGGTTCAATTGAAATGAATGAAATGATGGAGAGACGCCGCCTAACCTGGCATCCTTCCCCATCTGCTAATGCCTGCTTCACACTCTTGACCATTTTCTCAGGATCTTTACCAAAACCATGGGCATGTACTTCTAAAGAGGATTCCTCATGATTGCTCTTATCACCATTTGACCCTGATAATCAAAATATTAATCTACAAAGAAACTCCATAAAACATACAAAATGTGCAAAGATAATCCAGACTAATGCTCATGTTTCCAAAGAAATAAGAGAAATACATAGAATGCAGAAAAAAACAATGCACCTCCCAAGGAAGAACTCAGAAATGAAAATATAAGAGAGCAGACCTTGAGAACATGCATAACAACTACACTAATAAACTAATATCAACAAATAATTCCAGGATAAACTAAGCTTTTCAAATGGTTTTTCCAATGTTGCTGCACTGTGGTACGCCTCATGTGACAAACTGGGTTAGATTACCATAACAGACAATTATTTTTTTATAAATTCTTCACACAAATTTGAAAACCTCACTGTGCCTTTTGGAGTCAACTTGTTTTCTGGCCATGACTAGTTCGGCTACAATTTTTTGAACACTGGACTGAAGAGTTTCGAGGCTTCGACTTGAGCCTCTCTAGGCCCAAGTGAAGTGGAAGGTGCATCTCTGACTATTTCTTTGGCCATCTTTACGTCTTTAGACAAAGACAAGCTACTTTGGCCAAAGAAGACCAAGTTTTCTTCATTTTTGGGGGCTTCTATTTTTCTATCATGTGAGCAGAATCCTTAGGGGGGAAAATAGCCATGACACTTTTCATAGAAGTGGTTTTAACAAGAAAGCACTTCTCTTTAAACAATGATGCACCAAATGGGGTCAGGGAGTATGAGAACAACCAAAAGTGTTGCTAGATTCTAGTTTTCATGTACAATCCCAGGGCAACATGCACAATCCCAAGGAAAATCACTTGGCTATGTAAATACGTTTCCCTTGTAGTTGTCTCCTTGTCACCATATGTTCCTGGTCTGTATTTCTGGAGTGAAACTAGGGCCAAACAATTGCTTGTAGTCCAGGCAACCAATGTTCAAAAAAGCGGATTCGGGCGCCTAAGGGTTTTGGGTGCCTGGCCGCCCGGCCAAAGACAAGGTGCCTTCACCAAAATTGAAACCCCCTCCCCCCCGGCCCCAAACAAAAAAAACAGGGGAGTTCTTAGGACATGGTTTTAAGTATTTGGGAGTTTTTAGGGGAATTTTAGAACCCCAAACTCCTCGTGAAATAGACAAAAAAGTAACAGTACAATCACATAACAGATTTACGGTTACAAGTCTCAAAGAGATTATAACTTGTAAGACATTAAAATGCTTGAATTCCCAAATATCATTGTAGGAAACTAGAAGTCTGGACTAGAAACGATACACAAAGTCAACAAGGCAAAATCGAAAAACAAATACATCAAGTCATCAATGAAACATGTAAATATATCGTAAAAGAAAAAAAAAAAAGGTAAAAGAAAAAACACAGGATTCACAACATAATAAGTAGTAGCAAAATAAAATTAAAACCCTCTTTCAAATATGATAGTACTTTAAAAATATCAAAATAAAATCGATGTCGGTGCAAACTTCATCTATTGCATGACCAAAAGTCCTCAAAATCAACTACCAAAAGCTCTAAATCCACCCACGAACTATTGCCTTTGTTTTGGGAAGAAATCACAAAAATCAAAACTTCATTGATCTTTCGATAAATCACAAAAGAGTAGTTTTTTGGGGATTTTGTCACACCCTAAAAGCCATGGTTTTGTTTTGGGGGTTTCGAATACCCCCCAAAACCCTTTTCCCCCCTTTTTGGGAGGGAAAATTACATTTTTTTTACCCTCACCGAGGGTTTTTTTCGCCCATCCGCAAATTGTCACTGGGAGATGCCTTGCCCGCCTAGGTGGGCGCCCGGAGACAGGCTGCATAATTGCACCGCCCAAACAGCGCCTAGGCATTTTTTCAAATGTTTCGTCTAGGCGATCAAGCGGCCAAATTTTCAAACACTGCAGGCAACCAAGAGAATATAAATTAATGAAGTGCATATTAGTTTGTTTCAGAACTAATACCCTAAAAAAAATGTGGTCCTCCTTTATACTATCCAAAATGGAAATGCAACTACAGGCACCTCTTCCAAGTTCACAAACTTTGTTCACTAATACCCTGCACATATCTAAAAATGTGATATAGACGATACTACAGGCATATTTTTCCATCAATCGTGCAGAAAAAGCATATGAGTGGTTTGGCCCTTTGTTCTTATGCTATGGCACAAGCTGCACATCAATGTGGCTTTCCCTTGTGCTGCCATATTATAAAGAGGTTTTTACTGCAAACAAAAGCCAATACATCAAATAAGGCTCTAAACATAGGCACGAACAAGGATCACAATTTATAGGTAGAAGCACGCTCGACATTCCTTCTATGCATGTACGCCATGTACATATACACGAGGGGATGCTCCAACAAATTTCCACCATTTGCAATTCCATTAGAACTTCTAGCATTTTGTGTAATCTCTATGCAGTGAGCACGTGTGCATAACAAATACGAGAGACAACAAGCACTGAGCACAAAACATCCAAGTAGGAGTATTCAGAATCCAGAACTAGTAATTGGACAAACACATGATCTTAATAAAACATGTGACCTAGATGGTATTATAAATAGATGGAGAAAATATTGCTTATCTGACTGCATATCTAAAAGATTTAAAGAGTGGAACTCCTCAGACACGACTATGTATGCCCTTGAGAATCCTTTTGTACTGATGGCTCTACATGCTTCTACCACTGAAGCCATCCCTGAAATCTATATTTTCCAATAAATTGATGATATGGTTATCCAAAGCACTAAGTTATGTGGATCTTCGTGAAGGGAGGACGGATCTAATGCCAGTGTAGCAGCTCTAATAATCATTATTCATTTCGAATCTTCAAATACATTGTATATTCTTTAATTATTCAATCATCATCATCCGTGTTTTAAAAAGCAACCCGCCTAGCACCTAAACAAGCCAGGGGGGCCTGGGCGATGGCCCCCTGGGCATCCGCCAAGGCATCCAGAGGGGCGAAAATGCCCCTTTTGGAAGGGCAATTGAGGTGTTTTTTATTATTTCTTATTTTTAGCTTGTAAAAATTAGAGGTGGGGTTGGGGGGTTTAGGTTCATGTGCAACCTAAGCGCCATTTGAACTATTCTAGAGAGAGAAAAACTTCAAAAAGTTAAGATTGGTGATTTCCATAAGATCGATGGGTTTTTCAAAGTTTCGATAAATCGATCCAACTTTTGGATATCTTTTAATCCTATTAGAGAGTTGTTTAGAAGATTTTAAGATTGGAAAACTCTGAAGATTGAGCAATCAAGGTTAGTGAAAAAAATTTATTTCTCAAATTACTTAGATTATTTTGAGATGTCTTCTTTGAGTTCTAATAGAAGTGGAGATCCGGGATGGAAATACGACTATAACCCGAATCCTTTTCCTAAAAATTGCATAAGATGCAATTATTATGAGAAGGTTACAAATGTACAAACCGGTTCAAGAAACATTTGCCAGTATCAAGGATGATGTCTCCCCTTGTAAAACATTCCTCATGAGATTAGGGAGGAGATAAAAATTTGCATGAACATAGGCAAAAAGAAAAAAGATGAACGAAAGACATGCATAGCAGAGCTAACGCTTGGGGTTCGTGTTGATTATGATAATGATGATAGTGATAAGGAGGGGTGTGATAAGACAAAGCAGCTAGTTATGTCCCAGACTAGGGGGAAAGGAACGGGAGTTGTAATTGGTTTTGGGGGTGGGGAGCCTAAGGGGCCTCGGGTTAGGGGGGCAATGGATTATTTTTTGCCCCGGCCTGACCCTGAGGATGAGGTGAGAAAACAAAGAAGCAAATAAAATAGACATAAGAAAGAAGAGAGAGAGAGAGAACCACTCAGTACATTGCTAGGTGGTTTTATGATGCAGGCATTCATTTCAATGCCACTTGCCTAAGCAGCTTCTACACCTTGGTAGAGGCAATTGGCCAATTTAGGCCTGGGTTGAAGCGTCCAACACATATGAGCTTTTAGAGCCTCTTTTGAAAAAAGAGGTGAATGTCATGAGGGAGATTGTGGAGCCAATGAAGGACGCATAGGATCAGTATGGGGTTTCTATTATAACTAATATTTGGAGCATAGTTAAGGGAACCTTTTGGGTAGGGTGACGATCCTGCTTCGGAACATCGATTCCATAGTTCCTACAAAGAATCTTGTAGGGACCCCTTTTTTTGATTTTGGGATCTCGCTCCCAAAAAAGGGGACCACTCTCCATCCATCAGTGGAATTCAGTTCCATTTCGAAATAGATCCCCACTCGCATCAAACATGGTCCAAGGTTTTGGTACATTAAAATCTTGGGTTCCATGTTTGTGGGTTCTAGTTTCATTAACGGATGTTTGTGGGTTCCCATTATTCAAAAATCATAAGTTCCATGATGTTAAAATCCAATCCCTTTTTCACATAGCATGAAGTTCCATTATTTTAGATTCTCAATCTGAACTAGGCGTAGTCTAGAGTGACTCATTGTTTTATTAAATCCTATTGTGTAAGCCAACCCTATTAGTTGTGAGAATATATATTTTATTTAAAATCTTATATTTATGATGTCCTATTGTTTTAGAGTGTTAAATCTGATTACAGTTGTGAGATGAGAACATATGCGTTCATTTTAAGCTTTCAAAAGCTTCTTTTAGATTAGTCAAAGAGAGAGAGAGAGAGAGTAGTCCATCTTGTCCTCTTGCCCCTTCGGAGAGCCGGTCTTTGAGAAACAATAGAAGAAGAGAATAGTGCATGCCAAACTTGTGTCATGGCCTGAAGATGTAGTGGTTATTAAGAAAGACCGACTTATAGGGCATACATAATTAATCCGTTGTTATTAACACGAAATAAATAAATCCATTGTTAAGGACAAGGGGCACTTGATAAGGGATCTCTAGTAAATGGCACTTGCAGCCCTCGGGACCAATCAGCTGAGGACCTTGATTCCTATACTTTATGAATCTCGATATTAGAACAGGAGGAACCCCGTTATATGACATACTTAAACCTCAATTCTTAACCAAGGGAACTTGTACTAGCTCTGCTTAAAACCTCATTTTTCTGTATAATGGAGCTTAGATTCTTGCTAGTCAAAACATCGAACCCATGGACATCGGATCTTGCTCCCATACACCTAAGGATCTCGCTCCTTGTCTTGTTCATTGTACAGACGCCGATCCTAACCCCAGGTTGCTTCCACTATAGGGCGGTTAGACAAATCCTGAACCAATCCCACTCCTGCCTCCAACAACTATGATTTGGAGTGAGAAGAAAAGTTGGATGAATTTATTGGTGAATTGTCCTTTAAGAACATTTTTTTTTTAATATTTATTGATGCCTCTAATTATAGCCATGGTATACCCATTACATATTTAAAGTGATGGAGAAGGGCATGGGGCACCAAAGAGATTGAGCAACATGTTATACGAGTTGTCATAAATAATGTTGCTCCTAATGTTGTTGCTGCTAATTTGTTGCGCATAGCCAACACCAGCCGCGCCCCTCCCCCCCCCCAAACAAAAGAGCCTAATTGTTTCTAGGCATATGTGCCCCCCTAGAAAAAAAACAAAAATAAATAAATAAATAAATTTGTACCACACTATTAACTCTAATACTTTTTTCTTTTTTTTTACTTCAAACCCGCAAGCCAAAAAGTTGACTTTTTTGGATCAAAATACACTCATTTTAACCCATATTTCCCACTCTCTCTCTTTAAGCTAGTCCAAGATAAAATTTGCCGGACCGGCACAACTTGAATATAGAAGCCGGTCAAGCCCATTTTGTGTCGAACCGGAACAACTTGAATATAGAAGCTGGTCAGGCCCATTTTGTTCCAGACCGACACAATTTCAGTATAACGCATTTTGTATAGATTTGGCAAAATTTTAATATTAGAAGCCGGATCACACATTTTGTGTCTAACCAACACATTTTATCATAAGTTGGTTCAAGACAATTTTGTGTCAGACCAGCACATGTTGGGTATCACATTGTAGATCAGGAAAGCTAACATAGACCAAACAATCTATTATAACATATACAGAACTAACTCAAATATTTGTTGACACCTTATACTCACATTAAATTGTCCAGAAAATCAGTAAATGGAGAATGAGAGCAAGAAAACATAATCCTCTAATAAACAGTGACTAAGAAACATATGCATATAGACTACATATCTATAGAAAATCACATCGCCACTGAAGCAACCATAATCAACTTTAAATACTTATTTAATAGTCAAACACCTTGGAGCTTCCTTTTAGGGTGAAATGCACTTCACTTAAAAAACCACAATATTGAACATTAACATCATTCGGCATAGGATTTGGGTGCCAATTGATAATGCAAGATAGTACCGTGCTTGTGAGATTCGTGTTCCTTTTCAACGAGATCAGAAATGAACTCATGGCCAATAATGTAACCATCATTATTCAAGCGAAGCTGCATAAAGATTAAAAATACCCAGATTAGAGCGTGCAATTACCAGATTCTAACAGTTATAAAAAGTGGCATCACTAGAAACATGCCAGAATCACACTTTGAGACATCAAAGCAACCAGCTGTTCCTAATAACACATCAACAAATCATATGTTACAAGCGAAATAAAGATAACAGCAGTTAAACTATGAGCAGTTTCTATTGTTATTTTCATCTCCAAGAATAAGGATATCTCCAATTGCACCTCGCACAACATGATACATATTTGTATTTTTCTTATTAACGTCACCTATCAAAACCGAAAGAAAGACACAATGTTCATGGAAGATGCGAGAAGTTTTACAGAGAATCCGACACAAATGTTAGTTTCAGTACCAGTTTTAAGTGGTTAGTATTCACAGGCCAAGACCTAGTACAGCTAGATACATCTGTACACGTATTTTTATTAATAATAACAGATATGCGACCTAGTAACAACTAATTCCCAATAGTTATAGAAATAGATATGTTTGCAAAATCTAATAAAAAATAAAAAAAATTAAAGCATGGAAAAAAATTTTAATTTCCAAAATAGGTAAGCAAAAACCCTGGAAGCACAGAGTTAGCATCTTTACTTGAACCTAGAAAAGTTATAGGTTTAAGACCCTGCAAGGAACATCCATTTATTTAATACAAAAAGAAATGTTAACTGACACTGCATATTAGAACCCTAACATCACCTCACATGCATGGCTTATTTGGCAGAATGTATCCATTTGTGTATACTTGTTGCCACAAACGAAGCAAAACTACAAGTGTCTGCATAATACAGGTTGGGAGGTATAGAATAATTTTTTTTATTTTTTATTGTTTTTGGTTTTATCTACTAAATCCAAGGTGGCAAATGTTCATCATGCTCCTAGGGAAACATTCAAGCGGTAGAAGTCTTGCCAATCAAGACATGATCAAAATATTTTAGGTTATGGACTTCTTACTACCATAAGTTGTGTGAAAACATAAATGTGCTGTTTTCTTTACATCAATGGAAGTTATTAACGGTTAAAGCCAGTAGCCCCTAAGAGATGATTGACAATCATCCATTTTCGAGCTACAAAAAAGATACCTCACCGTTTCATACAGACACCCCGAAGAACCAGTTCTCTATGAATATCCCAAAACATTTCACTGGTTCCCTAAGCAATCAATTTTAAATGGCAACATCACAATCATCTCTAAAATGTCCAATATGTACCAAATCATTCTTTAGAAGACTAATAGAGAAAACTCCATGAATATACTGCAACCATGGATTAAATACCCATAACAACCAAAAACAATTGAAAACAATTTATTGCAGAGAATAACACACATGTTCTTTTGTGCAAGTTCTATATCACACATCTCATGATTTGAAATGATCGACAACCAAGAAGATCCAAATGATTGACAATCAAGAAGTTGGTTTCAAAAAACAGGTTACAACCCATTAACTTTTATCTCTAAAAAAGAAATGAAACATGTTACAATCCTACTTGGAAGAAAAAATCCAACCTTTTAAGGATTGAATTTCCTTTCATTAAATGAATTTCAAAATTAACTAGGATTAGGTTAAGTTTGGATAGGTTACCATATTACCATATTCATTAGGTTAGCTCAGATGTAAATATTGGGATTCCATGAATGAGAAAGACTTCAGGATTGATGTCTAAAAAAGGGAGAAAGGACAGGAAGTTAGTTAAGTGTTTTATGACAGAACTTAGTTTGGAGGAATGTCCCCTTGAAGTGGCTTGTTGGAGGTTTGCCCCCTCAAAAAGGCGATCATAGTTCTTCTTCATCCATGATAAACCCTTGCTTTTCCAATTGAATAAACTTTACTATTTTTTTTTTTTTGGATGTGAGAAGTGTGAGTTCACAGAAAATTAGCACCAATGCACTTGAACAAAACAATGAATCTAAAAGACAAAACTCTTGACAGTTAAAGTTACTTGCATGAAACAGCAATCAAGCCAGCTGAACCCTCTTCGTCAGCTCAAACTGCTTTAAATTTTTATTGAGAACATTGGGATACCAATATGATCTTCCATTACAATCACCTTTACATGATCAACTAAATTGGATTTTCCTCGACTTGAAAGGATAGGAGCCAGAAAATTGGTTCATTGTACTCAAAACTATCGACAGAGAAAGTTACTAGCATGAAACAGCAATCAAGACAGCTGAACCCTCTTCTTCAGCTCAAACTGTTTTAAATTTTTATTAAGAACATTGGGATACAGTACAATTTTCCATTACAATCACATTTACATGATTAACTAAATTGGATTTCTCGAAAGGACAGGAGCCAGAAAATTGGTTTATTGTACCCAGCAATTTTCAAGTTCGATCAGGTTTCTGAAACTTCTAAGGATAAGATGGCATTATTCCGTTCTACAGCATAACGCTATTCAGCAGGCCCTGTGGTATGAGAAAATCAAGGGAACACTGTCATGATGGGAGTTTGTAAAAACCCTTTTGCATTCAGTTTGGTTCAAGCCATTTTTAAGACTTCACTGGAGCTCTCACCAAGTTGAGTCAAACAACTACTATTGGAAAATATCAAATCCAATTTGAAATGTTAGCAGATGTGCTTTTGGATTGACCAAATCATTTCTTGTTTGTTGTTTAATTCGAGGGTTGAAAGATAAATTCATCACGACATGAAAACTCATAAATCAAAAAAATTATTTGAGTGCCATAAGCATGGCCTCTGATCACAAGAGGATAGCTGCCTCAACAAGAGTTAACAGCTCCAGCTGCCGATATCTTCACAGGGTGTTAGACCCTTAAAAAACACACATCCACCTGTCCAAAGGTTGAAATTCAAACCAGATGGAGAAACAAATGGAATAGGGCTTGTGTTACGATGATGACAATATGTTCCTGGGAACCCATGAAAAATTCGAAGTCTATTATTCTAGTGGTAACCTGCACAAGATTGAAGATAACGATCATCAATTCAAAATTGAACGTTCTCCAAAACTAAATCAAGACATTTTATTTCACGTTTCCAACCTTGAGGTCAAAATATGATGCGTCAATAGTTTGCAAAATTTTGTCAACAAGAAATTTAGAAAATAGATTGAAGAAGGAATACTATCCATTCATCAACAGACCTGTGATAGAGAAACTCCACGTGTAAGAAAGCAAGGCATCAATTTCAGTTCGGCGATTAAAAAAGTAGCTTTACGAGATTTTGATTGGGGAAAGTGAGATAAGAGACAGTTGAGACAGAAATTGGAGAGAGAGTGGGATGAAGTTGTCAGAAATAAAGATAAGATTGTTGGAGAGACGTGGATTCTAGGTTGGAAAAACCATGTCTTCAGCATTTTAATCCCAAGGAAACCACAGTTAAAGGGGTGAATGTTGGTTCAATAATTGGAAGTAATGGATTGAGAAAGGAGAGTTCATTGCTTGGGGTTTATGATAAAAAAAAAGGCAACGCTTAGAGGGTGGGATTCAGTAGCAGGTTTATTTTACAGTTAACAGTAAACTATAAGTTAATCTTTCTTTTTGAGCAATGGATTACCAAGTCATGAAAAGAAATTGAATCGGTAACAAGAGTCAAGGTTACAGCACCAGGCCTCTTAATCATGTGTTATTTCAAATTTAAAAACTAATTTATGCAAGTAGAGAGAGAGAATGAGGGAGTAGAGAGAGTATGAGAGAGAAGAGTAGAGAGTACCAAAAAACTAACAATAATAAAATAAAACAAATAAATAAATAAAGTAATAACAATTACAATAATAAGAATAAGAATAAGAAGATAAATAAATTAAAAAATTATAGTATATCAAAAATAAACCACATATAAATAAAAATAAAAAATGATTTCAAAATCTAAAAAGCCTCAGTAAACCTGGAACCAAAAAGAACGTCCAATTGTTATTGAAAATCAGTGTTTCAAAAAGCGCTAGGCGGCACCTAGGCAGTCGGGGGGCTCCAGGCTGCCCAACGCCTAGGCGGGTGCCAGCCTAAGCAGCCCAATAGAAGAAAAAAAAATTTGGGGGTTTTTCTCTCTCTAAAATAGGCTCTAATGGGTTTTAGGTTTCAAATGAACCTAAAACCCACAATTTTACATTTTTAGTATTAAAAAAAGACCCAAAAATACCCTCAACAAGGGGCATTTCTACCCCTAGGTAGGCGGGGCACAGGCCTTGAGCGGTCGCCTAGGCAGGTTCAGGCGGGTGCCTAAGCACCTAGGCAGGTTCAGGCGGGTGCCTAGGCGCCTAGGCAGGTTCAGGCGGGCGCCTAGGCGCCTAGGTGGGTTCCCAGGCCCCCAAGGATATCCGCCTAATTTGGCCACCTAGGCCTGGGAGCACTGGGCGGTCCGCTTTTTAAAACACTTTTGAAAAGTAAAAGAACCTAGGTTGAAAAAATGATTCCATAGGATATCCACAAAGCGTTATTTGGAAGAAGATAAAAAAAAAAAACCCAAAGCATGGACCTGAAAGCATCAAACTTAAAAAAACAGCCCACTACAAATACTCTCAAAATATGATGAATAAACATATTGCAAAATTTCTTGTAATCAAGAAATTTAGAAAACAGACCCTAAAATTAATTAAGTTGAAGAAGGAACACTTGTCAAGAAGAGCCCATATAATAGAGAAACCCTACTTGTGAGAGAGAGAGAGAGAGGCATCAGTTTCAATTACACAGTTGCAAAAGTAGGATTATGAGGTTTGGGTTGGATCTCAATTATGAGGGTAGGAAGTAAGGTTTGGATTGGGGAAAGAGAGAGAGCAGAGACAGTTGAGAGAGAAAGTAGGAGAGGGAGTGGGATTTAAGGGGTGAGAAATGGAGAGAAGATTGTTTGACATATGTGGATTCTAGGTTGGAAAAGCCATGTCTTAAGGGTTTCAATACTACAAAAAGGAAGCAATGGATAGAGGGGAGCAAGCTGGTTCAATAATGGGAAATAAAAGTTCGCGAAAGGGTTCATTTATAGGGTTTTATGATTATTTTTAAAAAACAAAAGCAAAGG